AACTACACTGTGGTATGAGGACCATTTATCTTGCAATGTGTCTAGTACTCATATTTAGCAAGGCACCCTTGTTACGGACACATCTAATCTCAACAAACACTTCACAAGGAACATGGACATACTGTACGCTATGCAACAAAATAAAAAAACACAAGGGCACATGCGAGGAAAGGGGATATTTTACTTGGCCTCTGCACTGGAAACATTACCTCAACAAGAGGTGTTCTGTTCGCCATAGTAAATTTGCATATATGTCCAAAAGGTGCTGCCTGAGTGAAATTACCATCTATGCAATACTCAATAAATAAATGTATTACTTTGGTTTGTTTCCATACAATGATTCAAAACGCTAAGTGGAAACCTTTGACACAACAATAGACTAAGTATTTAGGAGCACTGCACTGTGGGATCTGCAGATCATTAATAGAAAGCACTGTCAAGCCTAGATGTAAAAGCAAAACGCAGTCAGGATGAAAACTAACATTATATTATTGCAGAGTATGTGCAAGTGACGTTTATTTCTATTTGTGAGATGCAGTGATTCCTGCTCTGAAAGTGATTTTAAAGTCAAAAGGTTTTTAAGCCATTTCAAATGCTGATTAAAAATCTACAATAGATGCTGCTCTTTGATGTTTAAATGTTAGTCTCCTGAGCACTGGCACTGATATCCTGTTGTGGGGGGGGTCTTTTCCCTGCAGGGTCCTATAGAGCCACTCTTGTGTGTGCTAGTAAGCTGTGTGTGTCTCCACACACAGGCAAAGCAAGGCAACCAACGCCTCTGCTCCCTGTTCCTCCTTTCTCCATAGTCCAAGTTAGTAGCTGGACAGCTGTTGAACACTTTGAGGGGAATTTATAAAAACTGGAGCAGACAAAATCTGGAGCAGCTGAGCATGGCAACCAATCGGCATCCACCTTTCATTTTCAAAGCTTAACTGAACAAACTGAAGAGAGAAGCTGATCGGTTGCCACAGTCAACTGCTCCAGATTTTGTCTGCTCCAGTTTTGATAAATTCCCCTCTATGTCCCTTGTGATCTTGTACTGGACAGAAGGTTTAGGGAAGAAGCGTTGAAAGAGTTTAGAGATCCAGCTGTTCAGCAACCTGATGACTGTAAGTGGTTGGGCAAAAATGTAAAGAAATAGTTTCCGGGGCAATGTCTTTAAGGCCTGGCTAGTAGCTCAGGACTTGAAATTTTGAGCCCTGGCTTAGCCTACCTTAAATGTGGCTAAAACACTTACATTAAACTACAGATGGACAAAAGACTACTGTATTAGATTATAAAGTGTTGAATATCTCATGTATATACAGCTCCTCGGTTTGCGATTCAATCACTTTACGATGGGTTTTATCGGAAGGTAACCCCATGGTATACCGAGGAGTGTCTGTTTTACTTTAAGGCCAGAGAAATCAGTTACTCAAGCTGCACTGTGTAATGGCTCCAGCGCAGTAGCTTCTTGATCTTACAGACAGGATTTTATATCAATGTCCAGGTCCCACACTTTATGGAACATTAGGAAAAAACAGACCTCTGACGAATGTAGAGCAAAAGGAAATCTCACTGCTCCTATTCCTTAGCCGCCATCAGGACTCCCAAGGTGCTGGTCTAATAGGTGTGTCTCCACCTTGGAACGTAGTAGTATACGACAGAGCGCACTGTCCAGAGAATTCCAATACTGCAGACTTTATTGAAATTCACAGCAAATCCAGTATATCAGTGAATAAAAGTGTATAAAGCAGCAAATACCAGCACCGCAAACCCCCAACCAGCTACAACCTCTCACATGTTTCACCCGCAGTCTTACTCATAGAGGTGCTGGTATATGTTGCTTTATATTATTATATTATTATTATACAGGATTTATATAGCGCCAACAGTTTGCGCAGCGCTTTACAATATAAGGAAGGCATTACAATACAAATCAAGACAAGATGGTAAGGAGGGCCCTGCCCCTGAGGCACTTTTATTTACTGTTATACTGAACTTGATGTGAATTTCAATAAAGTCTGAAGTATTGGAGATCTCTGGATCGTGCGGTCTGTTTGTAGACCTCTGACGAAGTCACGCTGGACGTAACGCGCGTAGGGTGGAGCATCTGACGTCATTTGCCACAGCTGAGCCTGGACGATGGGAGTGTTATTATCTTATTCTGCTTTGTGATTGTTACTGGGATTTCCCTTAGAGAGATTTTGTGGTGGATATCTCTGTTTTTATGCAAGTACCTTTTGTTTTATTTAATAAACACTTTTTTAGACGGTACACTCTATGTTTCTTCTGCTTGTCTCTTTTTGGATTTGATGACTCTGTGTGCCGGTTCAATTGGATCCACTGGTATCGTTTTATAAGGGTTTTCCTCCCCTTTTGCGAAGGGAATCGCACAATGAGACCTACCCTGTGGGCCCATAACCCCAGGTGATCACCCCTCTGCTTTTGTGTACTCACTGGGTGTAGATGGTGACGGATTGAAGGATTGGATTGAAGGAATCTTATGGTTGCGGTCTCTTAGACACCTTGGAGACAGACAAATACCCGTGGACTGTTCTCTGTATTTTCTTCACCTTTAGCATATTCAGTACACTGGATTTTACCGATTAAATTTGATCATTTTTTTGGGATACTTAACATACTCAAATGTTATTCACATGTATATATATTTAGAGTCCGGCATGTGACTCATATTGTACACCCACTTATATTGATTTTTCACATTGGTTGTTTTTGTTATTTGTTTATTACTAGCTCGGCACATTAGCCTTCACTTTTAATTTACTTGCGCAGATCATTGTTTGTTTTATGGATCATTATTGTTCTCAAAAAGGTGCAACACAGGTAAAATTACATTTTGCTTGCAGTTTTTCTACAGACTGTTATTACTTTCCCAGAGAAGGTCTTGGTGTTTTTTTTCATTGTCACTGGATGGCAGGCTATTCAAATTTATTGAGCTGTTTAAACGCAAGATTTAATAACTATGCAAAATAACACAATTTAGCGTGTGTGTGGTAAAGCACCATAATGTAATGGCACAACAAAGTGTGAAGGGGACCTAAAGTCCAGCTACATGGGACTTCAAACCAATTTTGAAAACCATTCAAAGATAAGTTACATTGAAGCATTGTCTCAAGGTTTAAGCAAACAAGAACTTCCTGAACCCAAGACCTTTGTTATAATGCTTAACCACTTCAAGACCAGGTGTTTATACCCCCTTCCTGGCCAGGCCATTTTTCAGTATTCAGCGCTGCGATACTTTGACTGACGTTTATTCCGTCATGCAACGCTGTACTGAGATGAATTTTATACCATTTTTTGGGGGCAGATAGAGCTTTCTTTTGGTGGTATTTAATCACCACTACGGGTTTTATTTTTTATTATAATTAGGAAAAATTACTGAAAATTTTGAAAAAAAAAACGTTTTTTGTAACATTATGTTAGGAAACATTTATTATTACCCAGTTTTTTGGTCAAATATTAAAGATCAGGTCACGTCGGTTAAATAGACTATAAACATGTCAAGCTTTAAAATTGCGCGCACCCGCGACATCGCAGAAAACGACGGCAACCAAAATTGGCCATAGGCGACACTTTAAACGTTTTTACCGCTCATCAGTTTAGTGTTATCAGTGATTGATGGCCCTAGACTTATTGCTCTCACTCCGACGCTCGGGCGATATGTAACATGTGCGGCGTAATGGGCGCAATCGTCTTTTTTGCACGTATGCGCCCCCGACGCATGTTTGCATGCGTGTATGTATGGGTGGGGACTTAAAAAAAAAAAATATTTTCTTTAGTTCTTTTTTATGTGTAACTTAAAAAAATTTTTGGGGGGGACTTTAATTTTTTTTTTCTTCCACTAAAAACTTTATTGCTATCACATACGGGGGCTAATAAAACCCCCCTATGTGATAGCAAAATATGTGACAGGTCCTCTTTATGGAGACATCAGGGGTCTCCAAGACCCCTAATGTCACCTAGGACCCCCCAAAAGAAGCTGATGAAGCAGAGATCTGCTCCATCAGCTTCTTTGCAGCTTCTGAAGCTGGAGAGTGACACAAGAATGCGGAAGTGATGTATTATACAACACTTCCGCATTCTTTCAGAGGAGAGGGGACCGGAGGGAGCTCGTGTACCGAGCTCCCTCTGATCCCCTGTGTCACAGGCGACATGCTGATCCCGGGCTCGCACCGGGCACAGCGGAGCCCGGGATCAGCGGGACAACAGCGGGGGGGAGACACCTGATCGGCACCCCATACATGCGATCGGCCGGCTCTACAGCCGGCGGATCGCATGTATATTAACGGGCATCGCTGCCCGTTTTTAAATTCCGGCCATTTCCCGCTCGCGCGCGCCTGGCGGCGCGCGCAAGGGGGCGTGTCTGAGCGGACGTCTAGAGACGCCCGCTCAGATCGAGAGAGCTCCTGGCCGGCCGTTTTTTTTACTACGGCCGGCCCGGAGGTAGTTAAAGTGGTTCTAAACCCTCCCGTTTTTTTGCCTATATCTACTGCTATCAAGCACTAAATATAGGCAAAAAGTTTAAAAACAAAACAAACCCCCGCTTTATGTGGACAATGTGCTATCTAATTTCCCTGGGTGTCACTCATCTTCTATCTTTCTTAGTGCCCTGTCACACTAGCGGCAACGACAGGCCAGCAACAGGATCCCTTTGCAGAGTAATGATTAATCGAGTTACACACATCACTTCCTCGCTGACAAGATGAGCTATCAACCCTGATAAAAACCCTGCAAAATGTCCCTCGCCAGGGCAATACATGGAAAAGGAGAGTATTTACTTTGTTGTACATAGCGATCCTGTAGCTAGCTAACTAATACAAGCGATCAGGCGTCTCTAGAGACGCCCGATTGCTTGAATGTAAAGCTTCCGGCCAGCCACTTAATTACAATGGCCAGCCGGGAGGACAAGTGGATTTTTCAAGCCCTGTAAAATGACCAACCAATAATACCAACACACTAAGTGAAATTAAAACAGATATTTCTTATTGGATCTGTACCTTGGCTTGCAGATTTTGAAGACCGTCCTTTTGGTGAAGGGAGCAGTAACAGTTCTAAGGATTGCACTGACGTACCCTTTTCTTGTTTGTCTTCGGGCAGTGGCAATGTGTCTTCCGAAATGTGGGGCTTTTTCTTCTCTGCTAGCATGCTACCAGCAGCCCGCGCAGCAACTTCCTTAAGAAGCGCTGCAGATGAAGTCATGGATGCTAGAGAAAGGAATGGGCCAGCTGGAGAATGACGCTCTTGTCCTGATGTCATACCTCGTTCACTGACTTTCTTGGACAAAGCTGCCAAAGTGGAACTAGCTGACTGAGAATTGAATGGTGAAGTAAAGGACTCAAACCTCAGGGGTTCTTCAGTCCTTAACTGTGATTGGTCTTGAAGAACAGCGTTAGCAGCAGCTTTCAGTTTTAGAATAGCAGAATCTGGTGACAGGCCACATGTGTTATTTGAGTTTTGCAGCCATCTTTCTTGGCTCCAAATAAACCGAGTAGTTGGTACACTTCCATATTGGTCACCATGATCCTGCTTTTCTGCTAGCTTTCTGGCAAGAACACTGAGTTGTTTTGCATGGTGGGATGTAGGAGAAAACTGAAGACCCGACGAGTCATCCCTACCATTCTGAGAGACCTCAGCCCCTAGTTGCGCAGAGCCAGCTTCTAGCAGCCTCCGAAGATTACTACTTAATGGCTTGTTTGGACCTGCTTGGTCATCCTCATCCACTGAAGATGCTGAAGTTGACAAGTGTTCCTTACAATGAGAAGCCTCTTTGAAAAGTTCATTTTCTAATATCAGATCAGTACTCAAACTTGGAGTTGCACTTCCTAAAGAGGTATCAGGAGATGTGGCTGATTCTCGACCCCGATCAGCAGGAGACAATTTAAAGTTATCAGGAACATCACCATATGAATCTTCGGATGGCGTTTCTGAATTTGTTCCAAACCAGGTTTCTTCTTCACTGACTTCCCCTTCAACCTCTTCTCGTCTGGTACCATCTAAAAGGTAAACATAATAAACACATGTTTTAAAAAAAAAAATCAGTTCTAGGACAGTATGAATCAAAAAAAAAATTGTGAGTAAACCCACCATTTATCATAGATACAATAAAAATTATGTAAATAAATTTAAACAGCAAGCTGTTCAGTACTGCACAAACCCATTCATAGAAGAGATTAAATAGGAACACAAGGATTTACAGGTTACATTCCCATGTGCCATTTTACTATTGTTAGCCAGAGGGATTAAATCAGCATTTTAGATTCCTCACAGGAATCAAAGCTACCAGTTTCACCCACAAGTCCTTATAAGAGGGTTTTGTCATTCAATCAGCGAGAAAAGTCAAGTGTACTGACTCTGCAGAGTACAAAATGGCAAGGGCAGAAAGTGAAAAATTTATAAATATCTTACTTTTTTTTTTTTTTATAGAAGTCACTGTTATTTTAAAAAATGCATTTTTTGAATAACCTAAACCAGAATCATCCACATGAAGTTATTATAACTGTATCTAAGTGTAGCCAATGCCTAGAGGTACAATAAAATCCGAAAGATTACACAGCATAAAAAAAAATAAAAACCCTCAATAAACCACCTCTTCTCAAATATGATATTTAAAAGACAAACTTTTTATGCATCAGTCAACCACATAGCCCCTATGCTCCATATTCATCAGTTGCCAAGGTAACACCGGACGATTTTAAAGGACATCACAATGAACAGTGTTTAAGACCCCACTATGTTATACTGAACCCACTATGCTGCAATAATAATATGAATGCATAGCTTAGCATTTTCTCTTAAATGTATTAAACAGCAATTATTTGCTATTCATGCTACAATATCCCAAAGACAGATGCATTATAACCATCCATACTATGATATTTTTAACTTTAAAAACTGTCAAAAATTTATACTGGAATACCGTTAATTATTTTCAGTGCTGTCAAATATTAAAACCCAATTTGCTGATGACATATGCTGAACACACTAAAGACCTGGTAAATGCAGGAAAGGTGGCTCATCTAGTGATAACACTTCCTACTAATTAGGGGGAAAAAATTAAGTATTTTCTAATTAGGCTTCTATTAACCATTAAAAAAACCTTACTAACAGTAAAAAAAAAAAAATGAATCCATAAAGCCCATTGAATTCAAATTGCATGTAAATGACAGGAGGTTTATTATGCCACAATTGTTGCTGGACAGAAGTACTTTATTACCAAAATCAAAAATATACATACAAAGTTCATCTCTTCTTGCATTATATACCCATCATAATATTGTGTCGGCTTGTGCTCAAGCTTAGTATTAAAATATGTACTGTCACAGTTTCATTCAGTAAAATCACTAGTAAATGTTATGTGTTAATGAAATACTTAAAGAAGAAATACTGGGCGAGTAGAATATACTGTTTCCAATACATAGAGCCAGCGTGGGACGATGCAGCTGACACACACCGGCTCTATTCCGAAAAGCTAAGTGATCATGTAACCAATGATCGTTCAGCACACGGTCTCCTGCCTGCAGAGACCGGTGATTGCCAGCCAGTGGCTACAGATAAAGGTGATATACTTGAAGAAATGACACAAGAAATGGTGTATTAATTCTTATCTAAATAAACGAAAAAGCAGAATTGAATGAATACGCAAGTACATCACGACGTTCACCATTGCAGCAAACTAAAAACCATGTAGAAACAGTTGTTACAGGTGAGGTGCCAATGATTGGAAGCTTGTTAGATAGTATGGCATTTGCCTTATATAAACCTCGGATATCGATCATCTAGTGTTCTCATTTGCCATTTGTGTGGTTTCATTATGCCAAGATCAAAAGAGCTCTCTATGGCCCTCTAAAGGAGGTTTTTGGATGCCTAAACGCCTGGCAAGGGATTTACAAAGATCAATAATTTTTTTTTTTCAAATCAATAATTCCGCTGTAAGGAAAAAAAAAAATCTACATGTGGTGTACACTTCAGATGACTGACAATTTGTCCGAGACTGGACAGCCCACCAAAGACCTGACTATTTGATGCTAAAAGAAGTCTATAAGAAATCCAAAATGTTACTGCATGTTCTGCAGGCAACTCTTGAAAAAGTTGGTATCAAAGTGCATGCACCTAGATGCATGCTTTCAATCAGAAAGAGATGGAACCAATTTGACCTGCATGGGAGGTGTGCCAGGACATACTTGCTGTCCAAAAAATAAATAAAAGCAAGGACTACAGTTTGCCAATAAACATAGAGGCAAAAAACAGGTATTCTGGAACAGTGTGCTGTAGACGATTGAATCAAAGATAGAGTTGTTTGGCCACAGTAACAGTAGATATGTTTGGCGAACACAGCATTTCAAGAAAAGAACCAATTACCAACCGTGAAACATTGTGAAGGAAATGTTATGGTTTCGGGTTGCTGTGCAGATACAGGGCCTTGGCAGCTTGCTTGCAGTCATCAAGTAAACTATGAATTCAGCACTATAACAAAGTATGCTTGATGAGAATGTGAGACCATCTGTCCAAAATTTTAAATTGAACCGGAAATGGCTCTTTCAACATGATAATGATCTAAAGCACACTAGCAAATACACCAGGCAAGGGCACACTAACAAAAAATGCTGGGTTATCGACTGGCCTAGTCAAAGTCTTAGTTTAAAGCCCACTGAAATACTGTGGAAGGATCTGAGGAAAGGAGTTCATGCAAGTAAACCAACAAACATCTTGCAGCAGAAAAAAATTTGTTCAGAAAAGAAGTCGATGTAAGACTGGTGCACAAAACGTGATTTCTGCTAAAGAGGGCAAAGTGTACTAATTTTTTCCACAGTACACCATGACATCTTTTGAGATTTTTGATGAATAAAATATTGGAAAGGCACATTTCACTTCAATCTGTAGGCACTGTTTAAATAAAGAAATGGAATCTGTTGAGAAAGTCAACAGATTCCATGAGGTGTACTTACTATGTGTGTTTTTTTAGAGATAGGATTGGGTATGAGCAAATAGACTCAACAACTGGGAAACATTCGTACAGAAACGTTCTAAAAATATACCTCATGTATAAAACATGAAGGGCAACGAAGCTGCTAATGGGAATTTATTAGGTGTCAGCTATCAGTTTAATACCACAATGGGGGAAATGTATCAAAACTGGAGCAGACAAAATCTGGAGCAGTTGCCCAGAGCAACCAATCAGCTTCTCTCTTCAGTTTGTACAGTTAAGATTTGAAAACGAAAGAGAGAAGACGATTGGTTGCTGTGCACAACTGCTCCAGATTTTGTCTGCTCCAGTTTTGATAAATTCCCCTCAATGTATATTATAACTATATATTGTTTTCATACATACCCTGTGCTTTCCACATCCTAAGCACCTCCAGGGTAAATATTGCTGTATGCTAAGGGTTATTGTCCTACAGGAAAGTGAGCTTCTGCCCCTGCCTTAGGTCTAGGGCCAGATCAACCACAATGCAAACTAGGTGCATACTTAGGGTGCGGTCTCAGCCAGGTCTGCTATTCTTTATTCTATAGAACTGATTTGACCTACATGCAGCCAGTGTGACCCCCCACCCCCCTCACTTTAGCATTCACCCAACATTTCTGTGAGTGCAGGAAGGCTGCAGACCACTTTAGGATGGAAAACAGGAGGAGATTGGGGAGCTATGGTTCCCAATTTCCTCCATTTACACTGAACTCATTTGAAGTCAAAGCTGTCAAATCTGGTCAATGGCAAGGAGCGCAGCTATGTCTCTTTGCCCCTGATCTGCATGTAGTGCGGCCAGTGCAGGACACAAGGGTTCAAAAAGTGCCTCTATGCAAAAGGTACTGTTAGTTGGGTTGGCAAGAGGAAAGGCAAGGGTTTTTATTTATTCTTTATTTTAGGATTTTAACAACATTTTATTAAACCATTAAAAAAAAAGAGAATGTGAAAGCTTAAAAGACAAATATATCAAAAACCAACAAGAACATCAAAACGCTATAGATAAACTGGAGTAGGTCAGGTGGCAGTCCAAGCGGCGAAGTCCATGTGGATGGATATGAACCAACATGATGCATCCCAAATAGAGCCATGTAGTCCATCTGTCGATGCAGAGTAAAGTGCAAACCATAAAACTGACACAATATAGTGCCATAAAAACTAATGTAATGAAATTGAAGAGAAATAGAAGAATAAAGAAGAGAGAAAAGGAGAGGGGGAGGAAAGTGATGGGGAGGTAAGGGGCAGGGGAAGGAAGGAGCAAGGGTGAAGGAACGGGACTACAGGAACGGCAGCAAGACATTGGTACACAGAGAGAACGATCTATAAATAGTAAAGTTTCAAGTGGTTAGTAAGCTACTGAATGGATTGCTATTTTTTAAGCTATGTTTACTATATACCATTGTACATTACTATAAGTCAGTGAAATCTTGCTTCTCAAGCCCCTTATCCATCTTGATTGTGTTTTTACCCAAACGAAAGCCCTGGAAACACTGACAATAAAGATTTGCTTTAGAAAAAAAATTATACAGGTAGAAAATAACCATTATAAAATTTTTTAATTATTTTGACTTGTTTCAAAATACCATGTACAAAAATAGTTTAGCACAGTAATTCAGATATGTAGTTCCAAAATGATATGTGTGGCATGGTGTTAATGGGTATGACCTAAATTATGACATTTCCAGTTCAGTAACTTAACAGGAATGGCATTGCCATATTCAATTACTCGGCACTGGAGCTGGAGTAAATCAGGCCTCCAGTACTGCTAGTATTATCACAATACAATCAGTTTATAGTTAAATTAAAGGACATTTTTTAATATCTTGCAGTCACTCCAAGTGTAACATTCTAAAAATCAATGTGTTGCAAATCTGTATTACTGTAGTGTACCCCAAAAGGTGTGAGAAATAGATCAGCTGTTACCTATATCACAAATGCATGTAAAATATACATTCTGTTTTGCACAGGGCTGTTTGTGTCCTCTGCCCCCCATACGAGTTTATTCCTTTAAAGTCCATTAAATCGGCTGAAAGA